CCATGTCTCTTACATTCCAAGCGAGCACTCTACCATATGAGCTACACCCCCATTGGAGCTTCTAAATATATACATTTTTTCGAAGATTAAGGTAATTATATTTTTGTGTGTCTCTCGCATGCGAAGGATTATCCCGGACCTACACCAAGGTATTGACGGTGATTCTCAAATATCGCAGAACAGAATTTGATATGATGAGATAGAATGCAATAGAAACAAAGACACAGGGAACGGAACGGGTTACCTACTCTTAACGGTCAAAGCGAACCCTTTGATAAAGAATACATTTTTTGGTTAGAAGTTAGATAGACGGACTAACTAAAAGGAAATGCCACGTTCCGCGTGCCACGAGATATGAGGCGTTCTAATCGAAGGGTCATACTTCTCGGCCCTATTACGGTAAGGCCAATGCACCAGCCAGCCGGTGTGGTGGCGAACACGCTGTGTTGTAAGCTAAGTTGTTCCCCTTGTAGACGGAGGAGATATATAAAGAAAGTGTACCACTCTTTCTCATTCGGAATGAATCAAATCTCCCCAAGTAGGATTCAAATCTACGACCAATCGGTTAACAGCCGACCGCTCTACCACTGAGCTACTGAGGAACAACGGTAAATTAGGTTTCACGACCAATCGGTTAACAGCCGATCGCTCTACCACTGAGCTACTGAGGAACAACGGTAAATTAGGTTTCAGATAATTCAATTCCCGTTCTCAACCCATGACCAATATGAGCTCGAGGTTTCCTTTGTAACTCTGGCTCTACCATATGAGCTACACCCCTATTGGTGCCCCCAAAATAAATACATTGATTATATTTTTGTGTCTGAAAAAATTGAGAATGTTATATTTATGAAAATTGGAGGTGCGGGGAATCGAACCCCGTGCCTCTCGCATGCGAAGCGAGCGCTCTACCATATGAGCTACACCCCCTTTGGAGCTCTAAAATAAATACATTTTTTCGAAGATTAAGGTAATTATATTTTTGTGTCTTAAAAAATTGAAAATGTTACATTTATGAAAATTGGAGGGGCGGGAAATCAAATCCCATGCCTCTCGCATGCGAGCGCTCTACCATATCAGCTACACCTCTATTGGTGCTCCAAAATAAATACATTTTTTCGAAGATTAAGGTAATTATATTTTTTTGTCTGAAAAATTGATTATGTTATATTTATGAAAATTGAAGGTGCGGAGAATCAAACTTCGTGCCTCTCGCATGCGAAGCGAGCGCTCTACCATGTGAGCTACACCCCCTTTGGAACTCTAAAATAAATACATTTTTTTAAAAAAAATTGAGAAAGTATATTTATGAAAATTGGAGGTGCAGTGACTCAAACTCCATGCCTCTAACATGCAAAGCAAGCGCTCTACCATATGAGCTTTGAGTTTTACTTTTATTAAAGCTCCAAAATAAATACATGTTTTTGAAGATTAAGGTAATTATATTTTCGTGTCTAAAAAAATTGAGAATGTTATATTTTTTAAAATTAGAGATGCGGAGAATCGGACCCTGTGCTTCTCGCATGCAAAGCAAGTACTCTACCGTATTGGGATACATTGTTTAAAAAATAGAGTAATTACATTTTTACATCCAAAAAAAATTGTGGAAATTATATATATATATATATATATATATATATATATATATATATATAAAAGTGAGTATCAAATTTCATACCTTTTACATGCAAAACGAGTAATCTACCATATGGAGTGAGAAACTAACGAAAACGAACTCGTTGTTGGATGATGAAAGTCCCACATCGGTTAATTTAGGGAATGACCATGGGTTTATAAACTCTCCATTGGTGTGAGGCCTTTTGGGGAAGCCCAAAGCAAAGCCAATATCATACCATTGTGGAGAGTCGTGTTCGTCTAGTTATGTATATATATATATAAAGAAAAAACATTGAAGAAAATATTGATGAGTAAGCTTATCCTTGAGAACGTAGTCTCTGTATTGTTCACGTGTTATGTTTGGAATTTATTCCAACAACTTGCAACCCTTTTCATTGCCCTTTTATTTTCATCCTCCATTTCTCTTTTTCGAAATATTACAAAAATAAGTCTATCTTCATATCTCGATCAAATTCTACCGTAGAAAATTTAATTCTATAAACATTATAATACTCTCTGATGACTCGAAAAATTCAATCAGTTAAATCTATTTTGTATGAATTTAATTAATTGCAGTACAAACTTACTTGAATTAAGTTCGAAAAAAAAAATGAATTAGGTTGATTTATACAACCTAAAACTATTTGAATATTAAAAAATATATATTTTTGGCTGCGTATACTTATTTTATTTTATTTCATTTCATAATATTTGGCTCAAAATCCTACACATCTGTTCATATCTGTTCATAGCTTCCAATGAAATTGATCATGTAATATTCTCATACCCACTATTACTATTATTAATGCAATAGTGAAACAGATCTTAATTGTTCTACCAATACATTCAGAACATATTGGGACCAATATAAATAAGCCTCCATTAATGTATTTTTTTTTCGATATTCGGGAGTCTAGATGGATCTATCGATTTTGCGAGAATAACGAGACATTCACAATGTGACAACTTCTCCAAATCTATTAGATGTGAATCAAAAAATTTAGGGGTGGTTAGAAAATTCTTGACCCGAAAAACTCAATTAACCCAATTGTATGGCTTGAGTTGGGTTATGAATTTATTTGGGTGAGATTTCATTCAATAAATAAAGGCTTTATGGGTTGAGTTGGGTTGGTCGGTGAATTTCTGAATTTTTATTAAAGGAATGAAAATAAGAAAATAGATATTTTATTTACTTATAATTTATTTTTAATAAAAATAAAAATTTGAATAAGTTCGAACCAACCTAATTTAAAAAATTTACAAACCCGAATAATTAGATTGAGACTACAAAATATTCAAATTCGACCCAACTCAATTCCCGAGTACCACTAGAAAAATGGTCAAACGCTAAAATTACTTAATAAATAATCGAACAACTTTACCTTTTCACTCCTATATCAAATGGTGTGTAAAACTTTCTATCTTTGTTGGTTAATAAATACGTTATTTTAGAAAATCAACCATATATTTAAAATTGCGTCATGATCTAAATTATTCATTAAACTCACATTTATTAATTTAATCTTTGTCATCTTGCCCACACTATATCCCATCTCTTTCGTGGTTGTTATCGCCCTAGCGTCCGATCATTGCTCATCATAATAATAAGCTTCATTACTATCACCAATGATTCACAATCGTAACCCTAAAGTTATTCTTCAAGTGTGGGAGGAAGCCAATTTTTTTTTTTTTGTGCGACACGAACACGTCGTTAGCTCCATCTCCAACATCCTCACCTCCGATCACTTTGTTGTCATCTTCTTTTGCATCAGTGAGTTTCTCGCTCGATCATGTTCTCTCTCTCTCTCGCATAAACACCCATTTTTCGTGCGACCGAAACGCCTGTCGATCGGTTTAGTCAAATTGGCCGTTGACGGAGTTTTAAGTGGCCAAAAATCCTAAAATAAAAAATGTTTTATTTTTTTTTATTAGTTTTTTTACGATTTTTATTTTCATTAAAAAAAATATTGGACGTTGACATAAGGAAATAAGATAAATAAAGGCTTTATTTATTGCTTTAGGTGACAATAAAGGAAAATGGCCTAAATCGGCCAGCTATCTCTTACAGAAGCAATAAATACACCTTTATTTTAAATATTAAATATACAAATATGCAATTTAAAAATATAAGTTTATAAGACTCATGTGGCAGATAATTTGCCCAATTTTAATTAAATAAGTTAAGGACACCCTAAGATTTGGTAGATTTAGATTTGAGATCGGGGTCTTAATAATCCTACTTTAATAATAATTGACGTGTATAATTGTGATGTCCGAATAGAAAGGGTATGTGAACGAACCAATACTACATTCAAATATAAAGTGATCTTGAGAATAGAATGATTGAGAAATATTTACAATAATTGAAGTTACTACTTATATCATAATGGTTGTGTCATTCCCGAGTAGAAAGTTGATAGGGTTCTGTGCTTCATAAAGTGTTTAATGGTGCGTTTGTAATAACCTACGTATAGGTCCCAAAAAAGAACACGTTACTCCTGACCCTCTTTTCAGTAGATGAGAGATGGGTGAAAGAGCTGGTTTTCATTAACATTTAGTGAAGATGCATACCTTCTTTCGATGGGATTGATCCCGAAAGAGATCTTTTTTTTTAGTTATGAAATCACTTGGGTTGAAAAACAAGTCGATTATGACATAAGTCAAACGGGCGGATGAAGCAAGAGTCCTTCATTGCACTCACACTAGAGAAAGGATCACCTCCACTATAATTGGTTGGTCTTGTCCCCTTATTAGTGACCCAAATGTACATCTTATAAGGGTGTACATTCAACCCGACAACCCGACAACCCAACCAACCCAACTCGAATTATAAGAGTTGGGTTGGGTTAGATTAGAGGTAGGGTTAGGTTCATTTTTTTTTAACCCTAATTGAATCGATTCGGTTTCGGGTTCGTGGGACAAAATCCTTGGGTTGACCCGAGCGACCCGAGCCATATATATAAACTATATTAAGAATCCTTTAGTATTAGTGGTTTGCCAGAGTATTACTTTAGCCGGTCTAGTGAGATCTACGTTTGGGGCCGACAATCATATAAGCATATTTTTTTTTAGAAAATATGTAAGTGAGAACAAAACATACTAAAATAACTCAGTTTTAGTTTACAAGAACAATAGTGTTCACTCCTAAAAAGAATAAGCAAATAACATGGAGAGAGAATGTCAAAATCATTAAGTTGAATATTGAACCAATATTAAAATGATATCATTAAGCTTAGCCCACGATAGTTTTTGATATCTAAAATGATTGGTCAAAGTTGGAGAGCTACCCACCTCATCATTTTCCCCAAAGATCATGTCACCCATCTTGTTTTAGTATAAATACCCTTCCAACTCCAACTCTCTTGGAGAATGAACCAAAAAATAGAGAGATTGTTCTAAAACAGATTACAAAATGGGCATAAAGCTATCTAAGAGTAAGAGATCATCCAATTTCAAAGCCAACAACACAACCTCCTTTCTAATTCAAGGTATGTATATAATATATGATCTAATCTTTTCCTTCGATTTTTTCTTATTTTTCTTCGTTTTTTGTTCTTTCTACTTAGACTTTTTTCTTCTTCGAAACTTATAAATTTAAAAAATGCGTTCAAACATGTTTTTATAATTAGGTTTTTTTTTGTTCTATATTACACGTGGAAGAAAAATATGTAAAAAAATAAAACAGAAGAAAAAACTTGAAAAATTGGAGCTAGTTCATGGTAGGGTCGAGTAAAAAAATACATAGTAGAAACAAAATAAAAAATAGATTGATTTTCAATTTAATTCATGAAGTATTATAGGGTCTAATAAGTAATAAACATGTTGTGGCTCTTTCAAAAAAATAATAATGATAATAATAAATAATAATAAATAAAGAGATCCATATTTTGTTTATTTTTAATTTAAAAATGGATTCAATTTGATTTGCAATTTCAAGAAACTCAACGTTGAATTCCATGGTTTGAATGTTTTAGCTTCTAAAATCATTTTCCATTATTAAGCAAATAAATGACGTGGCATTTTTTTAAATATCAAAATTCTTGAAAACTATACTTTTTAACTCAATAATATTAATATTCCAGAAAAATCCGACGATAATTTCTTAATTTAAAAAAATAAATAATTTTTTCTGTGGTTATTTTATTGAGTTGTACTATTTCTCTTATGGTACATAAGCGGAGATTTTTGAAGGCTTCACCCAAATGAATGAAAATTGGCACCTAACGAGCTGAGACGAGTTGAACCTCTCATAACGTATCCTGATATTAAATAGGTAATTATCCTAATATTTGTTATGTATATAAATAATAATTATAATACATAAATCAATATTAATTTTTAAAATTGAGAGATTTATTTTATATATAAAAATAATACATTTAAAAATATGGCTTATTTATCAAATTAAAAGTTTAAAACGGCAGAATTTTATCTCACGAAAGTGAAGGCGCCCGCTGCATGCAAAATATTGGTCAATTTTCAGAATTTTCAAATTTCAATGTTCAATGCTTTGACAATTATTTTTTATTTTAAAAAATAAAATAATAATTATTAAAAAAAAAAAAAGGAAACCAAGCAACCGTGTTGCTGTGGGAGATCCAATTTTCCAAATCTATTTATTATTTTATTTATTTTATTAAACAATTTCCAATTGCAAAATTGGACCCATTTTCGTATTTCCAATGTTCTGCCTTTCCCAAACGTCGCCGCCTGATTTTTTTCTACCAAGATTAATGTGTCATTTCACCTAATTTTATTTTATTTATATAATTATAATTAAATTATAATGTGTGGGTCTGTATTAAAATTTTTCATGTTTACATAATAAATTGGATTTTTTTATAAAGAAAAAATATATATTTTTTTTAGAATAAAGAATTTCTAGAATTAATTTCACAAAACATATATATAGATATTTATCGCTCATATGATTTTGAGGATTTTAAGGATTTTGAGGATTTCGGAAAAATGAAGCGACCTCACAATTTTTAATACCTAAGTTATTCATTTTATTACCGGTTTATTTTGAGATGAAAGTTCGTGTTTATCTAATATGGTATAAGAACTCATGAAACTCAAACAAGCATTTGGTACCGAAAAAATTGGGATCCAACTCAAGAATAGTGGACCTAAAGAAGCCCATTGGAAAAACCTCCTAGGATACCAAAAAAAAACAAAAAAACAAAAAAAATCAGTTCAAAATAGTGAACTTAAAAAAGTACTGCTAGAAATGAACTTAAAAACACCATTAGGGGACCTCACATTTTTACAAGATATATGATTTAACTCCGAGATGCTTTTCTAGAAGACCAAATGAGCACTTTAGGAAATCTAATATTATAAAATACAATCTTATTATTTTCAAATATCTATTTGTTGTCCAATCAAACGGCCGAAAATGTGTAATACCCACCGGAAATCCAAACTTTCCAAGCTTTCCAAAACCTCGTCCACCGTCCACAACTTCACTTATTTATAACTTCGTTGTTTTTCTTCTGAAGCTAAAGCCATGGAGTTGAAGGTGGAGAACCCCACGTTGAGAAAAGCTCCCCATGTCGGTGAAACTTACAGGAGTGACGGAGTGTATGTAGAAGCCGCCGGAGAAGATGAAAAAAGTGGCAGCATTGTCCGTAATGGTGACGGAGATTATCAAGTTTGCAGTCGGTCGAGGACCTTTCAGACGGTGAAGATCGATGGCGTTCCTTTCTCCAGTAAGGTGGAGGAAAGGCTTGATTGGTTGCGTTCTCAGATTGTAGGTGGAGATGCAGAGTTTGATTCTCCATTTGGAGAAAGGAGATTGTGTTATGCTGATCATACAGCTTCTGGTCGTTCTCTTCGTTATATTGAAGATTTCATCCTCAGAAACGTTCTTCCCTTTTATGGTTAGTTCTATATTTCTCTACCTAAAATTTAAATTATGAATTTAGATCTTAGAAGGGGTTGGCTATATCAATTCATGCATATTATGCATTATATCATGCCATTATCTGATTCTGCATATATACAAACAACAATACTCACAAGGATGAACTCAAAATGTGTGTGTGTATGTATATATATAGATATAGATATATAAGAAGAAAAATTATTATCAAACAGAATAACTGATAAAGAATGGATTACGTACCATATCTGCAGGCAACACGCATACATGCGACAGCTACGTAGGCCAGCATACAACAAAGATGGTGACCGATGCAACGACGTACATCAAGAGGTACTTGGGCGGTGGAGAAGAAGAAGCACTTCTATTCTGTGGACAAGGCACAACGTCTGCCATTAAAAGACTGCAAGAGGTGATGGGCATTGCGGTGCCATCCATTCTGAGGGAGAGGGTAATAGAGACCCTAAAGGAAGAAGAAAGGTGGGTAGTTTTTGTTGGACCTTATGAGCATCACTCCAACCTCCTCTCATGGCGGCAGAGTTTGGCTGAGGTGGTGGAGATTGGAATGGATGAGAATGGGCTTTTAGACGTTGAGATGCTCAGATCTCAACTTGAGGCATTTAAGAAAGCTGGAAATAGGCCAATTTTGGGATCGTTCTCAGCTTGTAGTAATGTCACTGGAATTTATTCAGATACAAGAGCTATTGCTACACTTCTTCATCAATATGGAGGCCATGTTTGCTTTGATTTTGCTGCAAGGTACCTGAATTTCACACGTTAACTTGAATCAAAGCATCAACTAAGAATGATTATTGAATCTGTTCATTTGTGGTGCAGTGGTCCTTACGTGCAAATTGATATGCGGTCGGGGGAAATCGATGGCTATGATGCTATTTTCTTAAGTACACATAAGTTTCTTGGAGGACCTGGCTCACCTGGAATCCTTCTGATGAACAAAAGTCTTTATAAGTTGAAATCATCTCCTCCATCAACTTGTGGGGGTGGCACTGTGAACTATGTCAATGGCTTCAGTGAAAAGGTAAATGAAAAACTCACCAAATTTAAATTGTGTTTTGAACAGAATCCGATTGGTTGAAACTGAAAGCTCGACATATTTTGATGTGTTTCTTTGATTTTTCTGCAGGACACGCTGTATTATGAAGACATAGAAGAGAGGGAAAATGGTGGAACACCACAGATTATAGGAATAATTAGAGCAGCTTTGGCTTTTTGGGTAAAAGAATACATCAGCTACCAAGAGATAGAGAAGCGAGAGCACCAGTATGTAGAAAGGGCTTTGAAGAAACTTCACCATAATAGAAACATCTGTATTTTAGGGAGGACGTCTTCTAAGCGACAGGCCATATTATCTTTTATCATTTACTCTTCGACGAACTCATCGCTCAACTGTATCACAGATAAATTATGTACAACTAACACCAGAGAAAAGGATGAAAAGCTTTACATGTGGGGAGAGATGGGGTGTATGAGAGCAAAACCTCTTCATGGTCCTTTTATTGCAGCACTCCTGAGCGACCTGTTCGGCATTCAGGCTCGTGGAGGATGCAGTTGTGCGGGGCCTTATGGTCACAAACTGCTAAACATTGATGAAGCATGCTCGCACGCCTACAGATCTGCCATTGCTAAGGTATAATCAGATTGACCTTTCAATTCTGCATACCATGAAACAATTAGATTTGTCCCTAATCTTTGAATTTGATCTTTAACAATATAACAGGGGTATGCTGGAATAAAACCTGGATGGACAAGAGTAAGCTTTCCCTACTACATGCCAAATGAGGAGTTTGAGTTCATTTTAAAAGCTTTGGAATTCATAGCTGATTATGGACAAAGATTCCTTCCCTTGTATGCCTTCAATTTGAGAACTGGGAGCTGGACTCTGAAGAAAAAAGACCTTGCCGACCTACTCGGGAAGGAGAATTACAGTAATGGTCAGATCTTAACATTAGAAAACCAGTGTGCCAATGCAGAGGCTAAGTTAGCAGCAATAGTATGCAAGCATAAATCATATTTAGAATCTGCCAAAAAGATTGCCAATCTCCTCCCCAAGTTCCCTCTCGAGAGAAAACTTCACGAGGACATTGAATCCTCTGTATTATACTTCAGAATCTAGAAAAAAAAAAAAAAGAAGATAACATTGTTAAACGTAGAATAGATCATATCTGTACAAAGTAAAATAATTTACTAATTTACTTGTTTGTTACCAAATCTATGATTTCATGGTTTGTTATAATGTAATCCTCATTATACACATCTATAAATACATGAGGTCGTGACCCATATAGGTCACAGTGTCATTCAACCTAACAAACACACCTTAGTTACGTTGTAATTTTGGTTAGCATACCAACCGATAAACAATGCACTAATGAATTCTTTCTTTCATATTTATTTGCCCACTTCTCCAGTTATCACAACCCCCTCCTTTCATGTTAACAGCGTCCTAATTTATAGAATTCTTAAACAATACGAACAAAGCATAAATGAAAGGAAGAAAATACTTCTCGTTGATAAATATTAATTATGATGTGGTGTGTACAAAACCTTGTGAAAAGAAATCGAGAAGAACTTTAATCTAAACCAACTAAAAATGATATGATCTGATAAACAAATGGCACAATTTACAGGGACTAGTACAAACAAATACCTCTTCTCAGTAATAATCTGCATAAGCTACTTAACATCAGCAATTTTTCACAGCTTAAAATAAAATGACTAAAGCAAATAAAAAAAACCACAATCTATAGTGAAGCTTAAGCAGAATTATTAACCAACTGGACAAACTTTACATAAATCAGACAGGAAATGTTCAAAAAATTGATCAAGGATGTTTCTTTACCGATTCTTCTCCAAAGATCCAAGTGCACTGCGCTTGAGTGGTAGTATTGTTATTTTCCTAGGAACTCCCAGATCAAAAGGTATCAACCTTGCATATATTGGTCTCATCAAGTTATCAATCCAAAGATATAACGCAACAGAGAGTGTTAGAGACATAGAACAACAAGAATGTCTTAAAAGCTAATTTACAACAAAAATGTCTTAAAAGGCACAAGAAATTTTGTAATATCTCTTCGTTTTTTACAGTGGAGTTTATTTTCTTTTTTCCTTTTTCTTGCTTCGAAATAAACTAAACAAGAAAATTGTGCACGCGTTCTAAAATATAAGAGAATGTACTGAGACTACCTGACATTGTTTGGCCATAATTTGAATACTCAATGAACCGGACATTGCTTGCATTAAACAGTGTCTAGAAATCACTAAAATTAATTTTGTGCGAGTTCTCGGGATCCCTTTCAGTTCCCTTCAATTTTCCCCGCATGGTCAGTAAGGCCCTACCAACTAGAAGCCATTACAAGCTCCCTCTCTAATTGCAAATTCACCTTCCTCTGAAGCTCTTTCAACTTGTTTACCCGTTGTCGCTCAGCATCCTTTAATTTCTGAAAAACTCAAGACTCGCATACATGAGATTAAGAAAAAAGTTCGAGAATCAAATCAGTATCGGATATCACCTAGGAAAGAAGTTCTTAAATTGTTGATAAACATATGTGCAGACACGCGTTGAATCGCTGACAGCCAAACGTATGACTAATCTATTGATTCTCATTAGAAACGACGGTGTCTGCTCAACAAACGGAGTCATTGCAGAATTAAAGACCACAAACAGAACGATTATTGCATCAAACGCCTTCCACGCGATGCTACTTTTAATAGTGAAGTAGAAGTTCGTTTTCTGAACATAACTTTCAATTTCAGGAACTGGAGACCACTTCTCTCGTGTTCAACGTCAACTAACATGTCAGCCATTTCCATATATTCAGCAATACGCGTGCAAAAATTAAATTACTCTTGATGTTCTCATATATCTTATTTATAAACATCAATCCAAATTTAAAGGCAAAAATGAGGAAAAACCTCGAATAGCTGAGCAGACTCGACGTCTTCCTCCACATTTGTGGAGGCTACCACCGCATCTGTGTCCGAACTTGAAGCTTTTGGAGTGAAAACTCGATGATTACAGAACTTCTGGAAAGCAGAAATGCGATTTCAGGAGCGATCTTTGGTAGCTGAACCATGATTGCTACACGATGAAGAACAGGATGAAACTAGCTTAATTCGACAAAGAGATGAAGCAGTGGGAAGAACAGGATGATAAAATAGGATGAATCAAGTGCGTTTGATACCATAAACATCATTATTCCAGCATTTGAGAATGCCTTCTACTCTTCTTTCTGGTTGTCTGGCGCGCTTCTCATCTTCGTGAGGAAACAGAAGAACGGTGGTAGTACTGAATGAAGTTTTATCAGAGGTTTGTGTGTATGAAAAAAAAAGAAAAGTGAATATATATATATATATATATATATATATAAACTATAAATTAAAGATTTAATAGAACAAAATTAAAAATTTAATTAATAAATATATTTTAAATTAAAAATATTAAATAACTTTTTAATTAATATATAGATACAAATTTATTATTTAAAACTCTAAATTGAGAAATCAAAATTTAGTTTCCTCTGATATTGAACACATTTTCAAGTTCCGACATTTCACTTTGGAACCTATTTCGGAGGTAAGCATCGAGCGCAATGGCTCGTATTTATTATCTTAAGCTGACTCGAGAATCTTTTTCAGTAGGATCGAGCTAATTCTTTGCGCCAAATTCCTCCACACGCCAAAATTGTTGCAGGACAATTGAGATCTGTAGTTGAAATGGTGAATCGAAGCTTTCCCCAACATAGGACCTCGTCGACTTCCAGATTTCTTCTACGAAAATCATCCCCTTTTGCTTTTTCCCTCTGTTTGATATTCATTTTTGCATCTTCGATCTTCGTCTTCTTCTTCTTCTGCGCCAGAAATGTACTGGAAGATGAACAGAAGCCGCTGTTTCCAGAGCCAGAGGAATTTCCGTCTCATTCTCATGCCAAATCTGAGCAGGTATGGTGTTTTCTTGGTCTAATTTTCGTTGTAATTTGTTGTTATAGTGTAATGATTATTGTTTGATATTTTGATTTGATGCCAGAATTAGTTTAGTTTTTGCTTTCGTTGCTACATTTCCATGATGAACCTTTTATTTTCGAGATGGCTGCTGCCTGGGATCTGGTAATTTGGATTTAAACTACATGCACACGATTATGAGTAGTGTTTTAATGAAGTCTAATAACCGCGGATTAATTTGGCTGCATGGGCTGCAACTTTTTCGGACTGGCCGTGAAAACCATCCTAGGCTCTTTATTCTGTCTATCTGTCGTCATATGTTTGTTTCCATTTTTATTACACCATTTATAGATTAAGGGAAATGTACCTATGTCGAGAAAAGAAGGAGGAGGAGGGAAAGGATTGTTCCATTTGGAAAACAAGATGAACTGGTTAACAAAATAAAGGATTCAAAAGAGTTGATGCAAAGTTAAATGAATGTTTATTACAACTCTTGTGCTAACTTTATTCTGTTATAAAATTTAATTTGTAATTTCATGTAATACATAGATTCTGCAAGCTAATTAGCTAGATTGAAGAAGAGGATTAAGTAAGAGCAACTGTGAGGTAATGTAAAATTTCGTTTATTAAATAGAACCTTAAAGATGGGGACTGAAGAAGTAATCTTCCAAGATTCAATATCATTCAAAGGGTGAATAACAAATACTCTAGCTTAAAGCACCGAACCTACTGCTAAATTGTTTTCTACAGCTTCAATAATTTAGTAATTGCACTGGAGCTAGCTCCCTTTTTTTTTTTTCAAAATTTAATGAAGATGAAAGTATCTTCTAATCCAAAAGGGTAGTAACTAAATTAATTTTTCTCTCTTATGAAGAAATCAGTTGATCACCTATGGGATGCTCCATCGAGTCACGGGTTCCATCCCTGTGTCAAGCCTACCTCAAGATATGGAGGTAACTTTGTCCCTTGCTTACTTCAGTTTTGTATGGCAAGCATGTCCAAATAGTGGTCGTGTTCTCATTTGTTGTTGAAGTTTAAAGAAAGAGATTTAAGATTTTGATTATCTAGTATATTTCTTCTTTTTTTTTTTTTTCATAGGAAACAGGTGAAGGGATTATCACTGAATTGTTTCTTGTTCAAAAAATTATCTTATGGATTTTTGTGTTGATTTACTTTAACATTATGCAAAGCACTACATTCATAGTCCATGTTAATTTCACTAATAATCTTGTATGCGAACTTGCAGTAATATAGTTCTTAGCTTTTGGTTATTTTTTATAACACTCGATGAAAACTCTTAGTGCATGCCCCCACACAAACCACCAAGCCATCATCATTTTTATATTTCCTGTGCACTTGATGAAACTTAATTGGTGCACATGATCACCAAGAAAAAGACCCTTCTATTCTAATTTCTGGTTACTGTTCCAGCTGCCCAAACCTCGGATCGTTACATCACAGTGAGAAGTAATGGGGGATTAAATCAAATGCGAGCTGGTGTAAGTTGCTGACTTTGTTACTTAAGATAGGAAATTGATAAAAATATTCCCAAGGATGTAGTGCCATCTAGTTTTATGTGTAAAACTTAGTTGATTACAAACATTTTGATGCTAAACAATGAAGTTAATTCTTATTACGTGTACTTATGTTCAGATTATACATTGGTTTAGCTGTAGCAACTCTTAGCATTTATATTCTTCATTTTTTACTTTTTTAAATGATTAAACCAACTTTTGTCAAGAGTAGTAGTAGCACACAGGAGAGCCTCAATAATGAAAAGAATGCCTGCCTATCCAACATATTGTTACAGTAGAATTACATAAAAAGGAGCCCCATGTTTGCGATCAAGAAAAGAGAATAAACAAAAGAAAAACTTGGTCCCAAATATCCTTCCATGACCTATCATTACCTCTCCCTCTTACATCAGTTACCATATATACTTACTCGGTTCTTCCTCTTCCTGCCTGCTAGCTAAATTAGTAACAATGGTGCCCATACTTATCGATTATATCGACCTGCTTGGTCCCCCTTTACTCTTTATCTGCTAGATATACTAATAATTAGGGGAATATCACTACCCTGCCCTCAAAGCACCATCCCTAGTTAAATTTTTATTACTTTCACGTAAGACCGCGTACTTTGGTTTGTCTACTGTCTAAGAAATAAATCATGACATGCAAATTTGGATAACTTTTTAATTTATTTTTT